TTTTTCGTAGCGTACTATTTTATCTATTTATATAAAGATAATTAATAACCCTCAGCTATTATACTGATGCAAATAATTTTTCTAAGTTTGATATCTGTCATCAAATTCTTTGGGTTTTCCATAATAGCTTCTAGGATCAGACTCTACAGTTATCTAAACAAAGCTCTTTGAACATCTAGCAACTTATGCAAAATTCACCTAAGAATGCATCCACAAGACAGCTGATTCCACGCATGGCACGAAAAAATATTTGAGGCAGATGTTTAAGGCAGGGATACTGATTTAATTCTTGCGGCATTCCGCTCACATTCAAGAACTGTTCCTGAAATTTGGGAGTAGAGCTTATAATGGCTGGGTTACTCAAATCCACGGGATTACTATCAAAAAAGAGAGAAAAGTTAATTATACATTGAGAAATTTCTATAGCAATAAAATGCATGCAATCCAATTTAAAAGCAAGGCTATTTGTGCCTGTTTCCTTTGACTAGGAGAGACTGATTCTATAAGCTAGGGATTCAAACATGAATGTTTCTCTACAGAAGATCTACAGTTTTTTATATGAACTCACCCTATTCATAGAATGAGAGGCTAAATAATTTTAAGTTTTTAAAGAGTATACATGGATTTTTTTCCTAAAGTGTTTGGAATTTAGCAATGGAATACTAAAGCTATAAATAAGTCTACAAGAATCTCAAGGAAAACTTTTGATTTTAATATCAGCATTTTCAATTTTTTTTAATATTTATTTTTTAGCTTTAGGTGGACACAATATCTTTATTTTGTTTTTATGTGGTGCTGAGAATCAAACCCAGTGTCTCACGCATGCTAGGCGAGCGCGCTACCACTTGAGCCAAATCCCCAGCCCAGCATTTTCAATTTTTAAAAAATATTTATTTATGTATGTATCTTTAGTTTTAGGTGGATACATTAATTTGTTTTTATGTGGTGCCGAGGATCAAAACCAGAACCTCATGCATGCTAGGCGAGCACTCTACCACTGAGCCACAACCACAGCCCCAGCATTTTCAATTTTCAAAATCAAGTTTAGTGTTAGTTTTAAATTGTGTTTATGTGTACGTACTAAAGCCACAGAGTTTTAAAAAAATGAATTTGGGCTTGATTATATTTTAGTACAAATAATTTCAAGTATCTCCTTTGAAAAACAAACATAGGCTGGGTGTAATAGTGCACACCTATGATCCTAGCAGAGTTCAAAGTCAGCCTCAGCAACTCAGCAAGACCTTGTTTCTAAATAAAATATTAAAAAGGACTGGGGATGTGGCTCATTGGTTGAGTTGAGTGCCCCTTGATTAAATCACTGGCACCAAGGGAAAAAAAAAAAAACCTATCCCCAAATGACCTAAATTAGAAGTTACTGGCTCATATGACTGCAAAGTCTCTGGACTAAAAAAATCTGACAGAAATACAACAAAGTAGAAAACTACAGATCCATATCCCTGATGAAAACAGATGTAAAAATTCTCAATAAAAAATATTTTTAAAAATATTAGCGGGCTGGGGTTGTGGCTAGGCGCTAGAGCACGTGCCCAGCATGTGTGAAGCCCCAGGTTTGATCCTCAGCACACATATAAATAAATGAATAAAATAAAGGTATTGTATCCAACTACAACTAAAAATTTTAAAAAATTAGCTCAGTGGTAGAGAGCTTGCCTAGCATGTGTGAGGCACTGGGTTTGATACTCGGCACCACATAATAATAAAAAAAAATCCAAGGACAAATAAATAAATAAATAGATAGATAGATAAGCCAGGCATGGTGATGCATACCTGTAATCCCAGCAGTTTGGGAGGCTGAGGCAGGAGGATCACAAGTTCAAAGCCAGCCTAGCATGTGTGAAGCAACTTAGCAAAGCCCTAAGCAACTCAGCAAAACCCTGTCTCTAAATAAAATACAAAAAAGGACTGGGGAATGGAGCTCAGCAGTTAAGTACTCTTGGGCTCAACCCCTGGTAACAAAAACAAAAGCAAATTTAGATTTCCATCTGAAATGTTCTACCTAGCTGTTGATTAAAAAGTCCTTCTGGGCGACTGGGGTTGTAGCTCAGTGGTGAAGTGCTTGCCTAGCACATATGGTGTCATACATCTGGCTTGTAATTCCAGCAGCTCAGGAGGCTGAGACAGAAGGATTGTGAGTTCAAAGCTAGTCTCAGATAAAGTGAGGTGCTAAGCAACTCAGTGAGACCCTATCTCTAACTAAAATACAAAATAGGGCTGGGAATGTAAATCAGTAGTCAAGTGCCCCTGAGTTTTGGCACCCACCTGCCCCCCAAAAAGACTCTTAACTTCAAGTAACTCTAAGGGGGAAGGGGAACATATATACATGGAAAATGGGCTTCTAATGCTAACATACTGTATCCACAAGACCACAGTCCTTCATGACAGGTAGAGGAGGTAAGAAGTCTCTAGCAGCACTCCCTGCTGGGGCTTGTAGTTCATCTGTTCAGAAACAATTAGAGTGGACTATACCTCCAGTATAGCTCTGCTATATTCAGATCTATTAGATACTGAAAACTGGGAAGAGGAAAGGCTTATACAAGCTCTTTCATATGTAAGCCAGAAATGATTTTATTTGGACTCAAATTCAAGAAAATAAATAAAATGAAATGAAAATGGGTAACAGATATGGAAGACATAACAGAAACTGCATTCCTGCAGTTACCAATGTACAGTGTACTTGACACATTTGGGAAACTTGTTAAAAAAAAAAAAATCCAGATTCCACCTAAATTTACTGAAACAAAATTTCCAGGTAGGTCCTAAAGGGCAGGTGATCATGTACAAACAAGTCAAAGAACAAGCATTTGAGAATAGTACTAGCAAAATCAATGGGAAACATTTTTGTTTGGTTGGTTTACTTTCTGGAAAAAGTAAAACATTATCATACTAGACAAAATTAACCCTCTTTCTAGGAAGTTTGCAAATGACCATACAAGTCCCTTCTGAGTAATCCTCACAGATCTACTTCCCGCCTACCCACATCTCATTTAAGCAGGGAGGTAAAAATTTATCCAAAAGGCATCTATCCAGATGAAACCTACAGCCAGTATAGCCTAATCAATAAAAATAATTTGTCACAATATCAAGCGGAAAGATAAAGGCTGAGAGATCAATTAAGAATGAAGAAATGAAAAAAGAATGCCAAAGAATTCTCTGTAAGAGTTTCGCTGGTCATTTATTTCAAATTCTTAAAGAACGTATATAACTTTCACACAACTGAACATAAGAGAGAGATTTTTCTAGTTACCAAAATATAGATTAATCAAAAATAGAACTAGAGACAATTCAGAAGGACATTAAAATAAAAGCATGCCATAATCAAGAACTGTCCTCTCAGAACGAAGGATGGATGGCTCAACATTGGAAAATTAATTAATATGATACATCATGTCAATAGGTCAAAGAAGAGAAATTGCTTAAATGGACCCCAAAATATGATTTGAAAAACTCAATGCTATTCCTGAATTTATTTATTTTTAAATTTTTTAAATGCACACGATACCAGGGGTTTAAAAAAATCATCTAATATCAACAACCAACACTCTATTCAAAATTCTATGTATTAGAGGCATTCCAGTGAAAACTGGAACAAAAGAAGGTATCAAAACAGCAACATCTTAATTCAACAGTATTCTATTTTATTTTTTAGGTACTAGGAATTTAACCCAGGGGCACTTTACCACTAAGTTATATCTCCAGTCCTTTTTTTGTTTGTTTATTTTGAGATAGGATATAAGTTGCTTATAGCCTCACTAAATTGCTGAGGCTGGCTTTGAACTTGCAATCCTCCTGTCTCAACCTCCCAAACTTTTGGGATTACATGTGTATGCCACCACTCCCAGCTCAACAGTATTCTAGAAGTTCTGAAAAATATATGAAAAAAAATATTCAGAATAATTACAATAGCAACTGTTTAAGCATCTGCCATGTTACTAGGTGTTATACTATTTGCACACTTTTTCTTCCTCAATTCTTAAAACACTATGGGTACTAAGATTATCCTCATTTTATGGGTTAAAAAGGCACTGGGTTGTGGTTGTGGCTCAGTGGTAGAATGCCTGCCTAGCACATGTGAGGCACTGGGTTCGATCCTCAGCACCATCTAAAAATAAATAAATAAAATAAAGATACTGTGTCCACCTACAAAAAAAAAATGAACTCAAATCCAGGTCTTACTGCATCTAAAGCACTCCTAATTCATCATATACTCAAGGATAATTTACTAGAAAACACACTTATTCGCAGATATGTGTCCCTTTTATTTAGAAATTTCAAAACAATCAGTGAAATTAATTTAGAATTCTTTTAAATGTCCATAAATAGTAAACAAAAGTATAATTACGTAAAAAAGATTCTTTACACAGCAATAGCCATCTAGAAGGTATAATAGCATAAAAAGTTAGCTTTTCACATCAGCAATAAATACCTATGAATAATGACAAAGGAAATATGTAAACCTTTGTGAAGAAAACTACAAAACACCTCTGTAAGATATGTAAAATTTTAGCCAAGCATGGTAGTGAAAGTCTACATTACAGTGACTCAGGAGGCTGAAGTAAGAGAATCACAAGTTTGAAGCCAAACTCAGCAACTTGGCAAGACCCTGTTTCAAGACGAAAAAATTAAAATGGTTGAGGAGGTAATCAGTGGTAGAGTTCATTCCCCAGTACTATTTAAAAAAAAAAAAAAAAGAAAGATAGATAGATATGTAAGGTTCTAAAAAGAGGCCAGGGATGCAGTAGCTCAGTGGTAGAGTGCATGAGCAAGGCCCTAGGTTAAATACCCAGGACACATGCATGCATGCATACATGCATGCATGCATGCACATACACACAGAAGGATTCTAAAATAGAAAAATGCATGCTCTTAGAAAGGCAGGCTGAACATAAGAAAGTATTAAGCCAGGTGTGGTGTCACTAGCCTCTACTACTTAGGAGACAAACTCAGGAGGATCACAAGTCTGAGCTAGCCTTGTCAACTTAGTTAGACCCTGTTTCAAAATAAAAAAAATAAAAAGGACTGGGGATGTTGTTCAATGGTAGAATGCTACTTGGTTTATTCTCCAGTCCTGGGGGTGAAGGGAGGATAACAGCTTTTCCTAAATGTAAATAAAGAATTAATACAATTTTCGTTTGGGGCACAATCTGGTTAGTGATCCACCACTTTCCCCTTTCCTCCTATGTTCTCTTACAATTAAGTGTGGTATGTGTCTGAATTCCGACCAGTGGTATAGAAGTAGCAGTGATTCGTATCACTTTAAGGCCTAGCTCATAAAAGCCTCCCACAATTTTCATTGCTCTCTCTTCCCCATCTGCTAGCCAGACACATAAGCTGCTGCCTACAGTACTGGGTCCTAATGCAGTCACATGTTGAAAAAGACAGAGCCTCTGCCAGGCCAGGTCCCTGAATAACTATGTGAGCAAAGCCCCCCATCCCACCCCAAAACCATATGAAAAAATTGCAGGCTCATTTGCTAAAGCAGAACTTTTTCCTTATCCTAATAATACACAATCCAAATCATAAACAGCTGTGTTTTTTCTGTTTTCTTGTCCAGTCCCTTGTTATCTATGGGGGATTGGTTCCAGGACCCCACATAGATACCAAAACATTTGGTTGCTCAAGTCTCATATATAAAATGCATAGTAATTGCCGATAACCTACATACATCCTCCTACATACTTTAAATCATATCTAGATTACTTATAATACCTAATACAACATGAACACTTTGTAATTGGTTGTTATACTATATTGTTAAGGAAATAATGACAAGGAAAAAAATCTATAGGTTTTCAGTACAGACACTTTTTTTTTCAAATATTTTTAATCCCTGACTAGTTGAACCCATAAAGATGAAACCCACAGATACAGAAGGCCTATCATATTTTGTAATTTGATAAACGGACTCTAAAATGCATCTGAAATGTTAAACAAGCAAGAAGGAATACAAAAAATTATGAAAAGGGAAAAAAGAAAAATATATTAGGCCTACTAAATAACAGGAAAAATTATGAAGTTAAAATAATCCAAAATATGAATCTGGTATTAGAATAAATGATTAATGGAATAATATGTGACCTACAGATTGATGCTAGTGTATAAAAAGGAACTAGGGTTACAAAGGAAACAAAATTAGAAGAAATTATAGTAGATTATCTGTCTGATAAAAAAACACAGAACACAGTGGCTTGGGAGGCTGAGGCAGGAGGACTGAGAATTCAAAGCCATCCTCAGCAAAAGCAAGGCGCTAAGCAACTCAGTGAGATCCTGTCTATAAATAAAATACAAAACAGGGCTGAAGATGTGGCTCAGGGGTCAAGTGTCTGTGAGTTCAACCCCTGGTACCAAAAAAAAAAAAAAAAAAAGAACAACAACACAGAAAATGTTAATTTTAAAGGAGACAGAAATGACGAAAGGAAAGACATTCAAAACCAAACTAAAAAACATAAATGATAACCTCAAACCAGAAAGAAATGACAGAAAAATGGTTCACATTCCTACTTAGTAAAAGGGTATAAGATTTGTATAAAAATGAAGATGCTCAATCTAGAAAGAGGAAATGCAGAGAAAAAAGTTTAAAAATTCAAAGTTTTCAATTCTGTGAATATTTCAACAAAATTAATCCAGGTACATTAAAACAGGTTGGCAATCATAATTTTGAGTTTATAAATCCTTTACATACACTCTCATATATAAATGGAAATATATACATATTTATTTCAAACATTAATCATTCACTTTTTACTAAAACCAGACCTCTGAAGACATAATAATTATTTCAAAGTTACCACAAGTGGTATATTTATTCCTCAATCTAAGTTTCTATAGGTTCTCCACTTCCATGACAAGGGACCAGATGAGTTAAGAATTAGATAGTTAATAATGCAGTAAAAGTTCCACAGAACACATGGATGAGGGTAGAAGAGGGATAGGTAGGAAATGATGGAATTGAACTGGAGATTTAATAGAGAAAGGAAAAGCAAGAAGTAGGGGTATAGTCTTCTGTGAATGTTTAAACCATATTTCTTAGTGAATAAACAACAACAAAAAAATATTCTCAGTGTTATTTAAACAAGGTTACTAGATGAAGGCACTCAGAGCCAGACTTACTAGTCAGTGCTGGAGTAAGGGAGTCTCCAGTCCCTACAGAACGTGACCCAAGTCCTGGGAAATATATCTCATCCAGGCTACAGCAATAGGCAAAAGAACAGGTGCTACAGTTACCACAAGGAACAAGTTCCTAGAGTGTAAACCAAGAGCCCGGATGGAAAGAGCAGGAGGCATAAGCTATAGATGTGCTTAATGAACAATCTGGCTCCATTTGATGGACTGCACTTATCATTCACATTCTGAACTCCAGCAAGAGTGATGACAGGACAGGGTTGTAGCTCTGTGGTAGAGCACTTGCCAAACAAATGTGAGGCACTGGGTTCCATCCTTAGCACCACACACATAAAAATAAATGAATAAAAAAAGGTATTGTGTCCATCTACAACTAAAATGTTTAAAGAGAGAGAGAACAGGTTCCTACCCTATGACACTTACTGGGTAAAGAAAACATGAAATAACAAAATAACAATACCTTAACATATGTAAAAATCGAAACCATGTCTGGGCAACACACTCATTATCCATTTCTGGAGGGATCAGACTAGCATCTTCATCAGGAATTTTAAATGGAGGAAATGAAGGACCATATGTAAAGCGTAGCAATCTAGAAAATTAAAAAAAAAATCCACTTCACTAAGTCCACTTCTTTACAGAATGAAAAATATAGTCAAGCATGAGAATATGATGAGAAAATAAACAAAACATGTACTTTATCTAACTGAACAATATATATGAAAACTCTCGTTTACAAAACAGACACACTGGAAGGGATTTCCAGTTTTTAAAAAGATTTTTTAAACTTTTATTTTAAATGTTCAAATTGCCAAATGTGGTGGCGCACACCTATAATTCCAGCTTCTTGGGAGGCTGAGGCAGGAGTAGAGCAAGTTCAAGGTCTGCAATCTAGTGAGACCCTGTCTCAAAATAAACAGGGATAGGGATTTTGCCCTGGGTAGAGGGCAGCAGTGGTAAAGTACCCTGGGTTTAATCCCCAGTACCAAAAACTACATACTTTTTTAAATTATTAATTTGTTACTAATTACATTATATATCACTTATAAGTAATAAATTATGTAGTTATTTATATAGTGCGTAATTACATTTATAATTTATAATAGTGTTAATTATATAAGGCAAATTATAGTACAAATTATTTATTTTTTAAATATCCATCTCACTGTAAATTCTTCAATACAATTAAGCCATAATTCATAGTAACAACTTTACAAGAAGTTTAGAATCTCATTATTTAGAAGTTTAGAATATGATAAACTTTTATAATGTATACCATCAAAGTCACTCAATTCAACAACTCAGCTATTTAATTTAATAGTAAAATTCTAAATATATTAAAACTTTTCAAAGCCCTTTGACTCCATTATTCTATATCTAGGGATTATGGCTTAATAAAATAATCAGAACACACACGAAAACTATATAAAGTATTCACATCAATAATATTTCTAAAATAAAATAATGGAACACACTTTTCCAAAAAAGGAATTATTACATTAATTATAATTCCAATTATATGATGGAAAACTATAAAACCATTAAAATGCAATCTCAAGAATTATTTAAGAATAAAAAAGTACATGTAATTAAAGTGAAAAGAATCCAACATCAAATGAAAAAAGTAGATAACAATACTAAAGAATAACACTGAATTTTTTTAAATACATTAAAATAGTAATATTGTTTAGAATATGATAAACTTTAAATGATATTTCCCCCTACATTTTATAAATTTTCTATCATAAGCATATATTGCTTTTATAACCAAAAGTATTATTTAAATGCAGATTTACAATATTGACATTTACCATGATATACCAGAATCTACAGAATATTCCAAAACTTCATCTTTTGGTTTAAACAATGATAAAGATATAATTTTGTGTGTGTGTTTTTTTTTTAATTAGGTATATATGACAGCAGAATGCATTTTGATTCATTGTACATAACTGCAGCACAACTTTTCATTTCTCTGGTTGTACACAATATAGATCACATCATATGTGCAGTCATACATGTACCTAGGATAATGATGTCCATCTCATTCCACCATCTTTAAGTTATAATGTTTAATTAACTCAAAGAAAGACCAGTCTGCCTTCTGATTCTTAACACACTTACAAAGTAATCTGTTCCCACCTCTTGCCCCCATCAAAATAAATCAGATCAAGTCTCTAGATTTACCAGTATACAAGAAATACAGGAGAAGTGAAGCATGTTAATTAACATGATGACAACATAACTGGAAAAATCTAGAATGTGAAACAGTAAATAAGACAAACAATCCAGTTTCTTTAATTAAGAAAACTGCAAAGAGCCAGGTGTGCTGGTGCATCCCTATAATCCCAGCGACTCAGAAGGCTGAGGTAGGAGAATCTCAAGTTTGAGGCAAGCCTCAGCAACTTAGCAGAACCTATCTTAAAATAAAAATTAAAAGGGCTGGGGATATAGACCAGAGGTAAAACTCATCTGGGTTCAATCCCTCATAATATAAGAATAAAAAATTGCAAAGAAATAAAAATAACTATAATTTAAAATTTAATAAACATATGTCAACTAAATGCAATGTCTGAATTTTGTGTTCTAATTCAATGAAATTGACTGTAAAAAGAAAAAAATACAACAAAACTGGAACAATGGCTAGCTGATTTTAAAGAACAGTCAACCTTTTAAGGTATGATAATGGTATTGTAGTTATGCTTTTGAAAGAACCCTCATCTTCCAGAGTTATGTGTTAAAATATGTACAGTTGAAATTAAAAAAAAAAAACAAGTCTGAAAAAATGAAAACAGTTTGCTCTCAGAATAGTGAGATTAACATATATAAAAATACAGAGAGGCAAAATTATTATCATAAAAACACTGTCTACTTTGGTTACAAAGAAGCATGTGGTTTGGTCCCATTTCTGTAAAACAACATAAAAATATATACATATGTATTTATACTTAGTAGAATTTCTGATAAAACCTTATGTCATGTTTTTCTATAGTTTTTTTCCTTTAAAATTATGACCATGCATATTTTAATAATCAGACTTAAGAGGACAATTTGGTCAAGAGGCTGAGGCAGAAAGATCACAAAAGATCAAGATCAGCCTTAGCAACTCAGTAAGACCCTAAGCAACTTACGGAGACTCTGTTTCAAAATAAAAAATAAAAAGGGCTGGGGATGTAGCTCAGTGGTAAAGTACCCATGGGTTCAATACCCAGTACCCAAAAAACATAAAGCATGTGACTGATGAGGAGGGGGGAACCAATGGGTTCAGAATTTATCTGGTTCTCAAAAATACTTGATTACTCTGATTTCTTAGAATAGATGTGCACTAGCCAAACTGATACATGTTTTTTAAATCAGCTCAAATTTATATCTAAAGCACAATGATAACAGATCTAGACTTTGAAAGTATATTCCATGAATCCCAGAAAGGTGCAGAAGCAAGGAGAAGGATAGACAGATGAAGGAAGACAGTGACATACCTGGAAGTCAGTGCACAGATGACCTTGCTCCACTGCTCCACCACTGCTGGGTGGTGCCTCCAATTAGCCACCATCTCCTTGGCTGTTTTCCAATAAGGAGGTGTTGGAAAACACCGAGTACAAGCTAGTAACCAAACTTCAAAGAGAACACCAATCAACTTCTCTGCTAGATTCTCAGCAATGCCACCTGACCAACAAAAAGAGAACATATCTTTGGCACACTTATTTTTACAGCAAAATATTTAATTGATGGATTTGGGAAGACTAATCTAAAATAACTACAATGTTAACTATTAACTTACAAATAACTATTTAATTTTCTCTATTTTATAGAAGTAACTATTGGGCGCTCCTATAAAGAAATCATAGATAACACCAACAAATTACTCTGAAGAGTTTTCAAAATTGCCCTGCTAGTTTTTACTGAAGATCTTAATCTTCCAGCAAAAGAGATATAGACACACAAAGGAGAATGGAAAGAATGAGTGCTTACAGTGAGTACTAGAAGTTAATTTCTGTGCCAAGTAATCCATACTCAAGACCTGACAAAATCCTCAAATTATTTCTGCAGAATAAGTATTCATAATACCTATTACCAATTATTAACCATACCCATTTTTGAAGATGAGAAAACTTGGGTTCAGAAGGAAGTTTAAGTAATTTGTCCAAGCTCATGCAGCCAATAAGAAAAGGAATCAAAACAAATACACGGGTCTTCCTAACTCCAAAGACTGCCATATGATGTTCCCAGGTGTCTGAAAGCTACCCTTTAAGGGAGAAAGAGACAAAGAAGAAGCAAAACGACCGGGACTGGATAGTACAGAACCTTAACCATGAAAACAGAGCTGTTTTTCTGTTCTGAGCCCTGGGATCAAACAGAACAACCATGGTAGACTTTACTCTGCATAGCTCCAAAAGGCAAAGTTGGTACTAGTATAGGAAATAATAAAGATGCATATTTCAAAAGAACAAAACCAAAGTTCCAAGAACAAAGAACCCAGAAGGAGATGAATTGTATGCCTCATGCTGTTGAGATCAAAAGCATGGAGAGTGAATAGCAGAGAGCTAATAAATCAATGACTGGACACCACTGTCCACACCAGACAGAGTATTCCTATACTGGGATCCCTTCCCACATTAAAATTCCATGATTTCTTTTAGATGTTTCCCTAGACCCTACATCTATATGACAACAAAGGCATATTTGTGCACATTAGTAAGGAAAGTACACAGATAAATAAGATACAAAGGCCAGGAACTAGAACATGAACTTATAGTTTGTGTACACTGTGCTTTAACCTACAAAGCAGGGCTTCTGAAAAGCACTCCAAAGTTTTATAAAACCAGAGGTTTTTTTAATGGCTAACTAATGAATGGCATACTGTCACACTTTCATATAAAACACTTAAGACTCTAGAAGTTTCATTCGCTGAACAAAATATCTTCTGTCACTGTGAAGTTTTCAGAGTTGACTTTGATAACTACTATGCCATCAGGTAATTATCTATAAGCTTTAATTTAATTAGTTCATTGTTTCCTATATAAGCTCTGTTCTAACACACTAATAATAGTTACTGTCCTAGCCTTCCCAAATGTGCACAATTCACTGAGTTCTTTCCTATATGAGCAAAATTATCACTGAAGGTAAAATTAACTTTCATTAGCCATACTATGCCTTTGAAGGTTTCCTTTCTAAGAATAGTAAATCATGGTTTGCTAACTGTCATGCCAAAATTTTAATCCCCAATGAGTGTATGACTTATTGAGTTTAAATGTGAATGATATTTGGAGCTCATAAATTAATGAGGAAAAAAAAAACAACAACAAACCTTGAACAGTTGGTGGGGCCAGAAGTATGTCATTGATCTGCAGAAGAAACAACAGTAAGACTTCCCAGGTTTCTCGGGCCATTATGGATGACTCACGGGCCAGTTTCTGAATGGCTCTCAGGACCTGTAAGCATAGTCGGGTCTGACTGGAGCCATGTTCCTGTCTGAAGAAGACAGACAGACATCACTGACAAGCCTGGAAGAGACATCAATAGCTGAAGGACAGGCAGCTTACAGACGCAGCAAGCTAGTCCAATGAGGCTCCCTGAGGGCATCAGCAGACAGTACTAGGCATACCCTCCTTGGTTTAAAGCTAATTCATTTATATTACACAGTTAGTACTCTGGGATCACAACCTTCCACTCCCTGAGAACTTAGAAAGCTTCTAAGAGAAAGGGGAATACTAGAATGCAAACTTTACGTCTGGATTCTCTATGTCTAAAATGTGCCTGGTACATAAAAGCAGCACTCAATTAAGTTTTGACTAAATAAGTAAATACCTACAGCAACTCTTGCTGCTTAACTAAAGCACAAAGGCCCTTGTGCTTTTTTTAAAAAAAAAAAACATACACACACAATCACAAGGATTCTGCATGTGATTTACAGTGCTCACTAATACTAATGTCTGCTAGGGAAGAGCCTGGGAGGTCCATTGGAATGTCCAAAATTGGTGGGGTACGTAAGCATTGCCTCAAAGATGAGTACCTGCTCTAATAACAATGATGGGAGCTCCAAAGAATAACAGTTTTAAAATTCTCCTTGGTCTGCATAATTATATTTTTTCAAGGGAAGGAGGTCAATCTATAAAATAAATTATTGTGTCTGGGATTAAAGAGGAAGATAAAAGTCCAAACCCCAGGGGGCTAGGGATATAGTTCAGTTGGCAGAATGCTTGCCTTACATGCACAAGGCCCTGAGTTTGATCCCACCACAAAAAAAAAAAAAAAAAAATCCTAATCCCAGTCCCTCACCCCATTTCCCAAGGTGGATCACCTGAGAATTTTTGAGAATAGGAGGGAAACCACTATATAAGCAAATAGTGAGCTGACCTCCAGATTTCTCATTTCAATTCCAAGACACAATCTACAATATTACTTTAAAACAACAACAACAATAACAAAAACCCTGAAACCAAGTTTCTGTATATTGTGATTTGTCACAAAGAACTGACAGAAATATGTCTGATTCAGGGTAGGAAATTTCAGAGCCTCCTCAAGAAATTCCCCAAAGGGGGGGAAAAAAGAGTGCTCCTTTCCTTCCTCAACAATAGAATAGAGAATCCCAGATTCCAGATCATTACCCAGAAAACTGGTCACTTACCCTGGAGTTACAATAGAATAGAGAATCCCAGATTCCAGATCATTATCCAGAAAACACTTACCCTGGAGTTACACTGCAATCAAATGACACCACTAAATTTTCTCTTAAAAAAACAAACCTAAAGCAAAATGAAAAGACAATCACCTAGGAAGGGCCAAGAGCTCAAAAAAGCAAGGAAATATCCCACATTCAGCTGGAGGTGAATCCAGTCCATTTAAATTCATGAGGCTCAAGTTCATCTTTGTTGCAGTGGCTTACTTGAGGAAGAACAAAATACTACATAGTAAGCCAGGCATGGCGGTGCACACCTGTAATCCCACAGACTCACGAGGCTGAGTTCAAGGCTAGCCTTGGCAATTTAGTCAGACCCTGAATCAAAATAAAAAATAAAAAGGGCTAGGATGAAGTTTAGTGGTAAAGAAGCCCTGGGTTCAACCCCCAGTACCAAAAACAAAACAAAACAAAATTACATAATATCCCAAACCTTACCTAGTCATAGAAGAGGAAGCCCACAATAAGAAATAAAAATACCACTAGTGGTCCTGGGGCTGACTCTTCCAAACTAGCAATAATATTCTGCATGCCTCCATTGGTACTTGAGGCTTATTCACTATTTCCAGGTACCTTCCCAGTAGCAGGAAAGGAAATAAATGCTCTTCTGTATGTTAGTTTCATTCAAAAGGCCTACATTTGGGTTCAATCCCCAGCACCACACACACACAAAAAAAGGCCTAAATTCAGGAGCAGGATCTAAATTCCTAATGCTAGGAGAAACAAAGTAATCTTTATATAAAAGTGAGCAGAAAGTCTAAACACCAGAGATTTTTATTTCCTCCAATATCCTTAAATGTAACTTGTGGTATTAAGTAAAACTATTTTAGAACAGGAGCCAGTAAACTATGGCCAATAGGTTAAATTTGGCCTACCCTGTGCTTTCATAAGTTCTAATGGAACAGAGCCATGCTCCTTTGTTTATGTAGTCTATGGCTGCTTTCCTGCTGCACTAACAGGGTTGACTAGTTCTAACACCACATGGCCTGCAAAGCTGAAGATATTAATACCCAGCTCTTCACAAAAAAAAAAAAAAAAAAAAAAAAAAAAAGTTTGCTGACCTTTGCTTTAGAATAACCTTACATTTCTTAAAACACAGTATACTTGAGCTATTAAAACCCTCATCAACTTTAAAGATGGCTTACTTTTCACTAATTTTGAAAAACAAACAAACTGAAGGGCAAAAGAGAAAAGGGTACATCTACTCTGACTTGGGTTTCTAACAAAATGGTAAAGGCAGTTTCCCATATTTTGAGAGTCAGTTTATGTAAAAACAATTAAGGAAAACGACAAATTTGCTCTGAATTTTTTAAAACTGACACTTCCAAAATTAGATCATAACTCCCAATATTTAACACTATAAAATATTCAACTAATCTTCATATAACTTTATTGGCCAGGAGAACTCTAACTCAGTTCAGTGCCTTTTCAAAATGGATTAATCTTATGCATACATACTTTGAAGAAAACAATTACCAAATAGTAGAACAATTAATAAAGTAGTCATGTTTCTCAAAAAGAAAAGTAAACACAAAGCCCAATTAACTCAAAGACCATTAGTTTTTGTTTTTTGATTTTTTTCCCAGCAGTTCAAAGTAACTAAGCACTGAGAAATGGTAAAGGTACAAAGAAAGAGATACAGTACCAATACTACTCATAAGATCATCCCATACGCAAAGAAAAAAATTCAGTAAATTGGTCTTCTAAATGGGATAATAAGAAAGATTAAAACTAGGCTGGGGTTGTGGCTCAGTGATACAGCACTTGCCTAGCAGTGGGAGGCACTGGGTTTGATCCTCAGCACCACATAAAAATAAATAAAGTTATTATGTCCATCTACTGCTAAAAATATTTTTAAAAGAAAGAAAGATTAAAAACTATGACATTTTAAAAGAACCTACTTGCCTACAACTTGCTAATTACTCTTGAGACATTTCTTGTTATTATTTCCATTTGTAGTCAATAAACACAAGAAACAGGCTTTTGATACACACCTAATATAGTACTAGTACTGCATCTGGTACAGTAGAAAACCCAAAATATAGACAACTCGGTTTCTGCTCTCAAGCTGGTTAGATGGGAAAAGGAAACACATTTTAAAGGATAAGCAACAAAACACTGAGATACAAGAGTAATACAGGAAGTACCCTACAAATTCAGAGGGGGTGTGTTTACTGTGAGCCGGTGGGCTGGAAACTGGTAAGGCTTCTCATTGCAAGACTGAAATTAAAATGAAGCAATAAAAGTGAGATGTGGACAGCGAGGTGATAGAGAGAAGGAAAAGGAAGAGGACAAAGGGAAGATGATGATGGGACAGATCTTTAAGGAGTCTTAAATGAATGTTTACTTTATGAGTCTGACTAAACCGCAGTACTCACAGAATTAGCAGCAGCTAATCTAGTGAAGGGCCAGATTACAACTTGTACTTCCTAACAGGTAAAAAGTTTATACCTGAATCTATTACCAAAGTCCTTAATGGAGACTTGTTTTTTTGTTTTGTTTTGTTCCTGCAGGGTAGGTGGGGTGAGTACTAGGGACTGAACCCAGGGGCTCCTTACCATTGTGGTATAGGCCCAGTCTTTTTTATTTTATTTTATTTTATTTTGAGATAGGGTCTTGATAAGTTGCTGAGGCTCTCACTAAGTTGTTGAGGTTGGCCTTGAACTTGCAATTCCCCATCTTAGTCTTCCAAGTCTCTGGAAGTGTGCACCCAGAGACTTGGAAGATTAAGATGGAAGACTACACACAGCCAAGATTTGTCTTCTTTAATTTGGATTTTCCAAAGCAAATTTCATTCTAAATTTAGGAAGTTAAAATTCAGAAAGTTGGTTTTTGAGTGATTCAAATTCCTTCATCATCTGACAGACCAAAGTTCTGGTTCTTCCAACTAGAACTTTTCCAAAAGGAGAAAAACCTCACTGCCCCTTTCAGACATAAAACAATATCTGAAAACAGACACTCATAAATAGGCAGGCAACTAATGGTTTCTTCTCCATTCTTTTCTTTATTTCCCAGAATCTATTATAAGGATATATAATAACTGTGTGTATGTGTGTGTGTGTGTGTGTGTGTGCGCGCGCGCGCGCGCGCGCAGCACAAACATGCAATAAGGATGGGACCCAGGGCCTTGCACGTGCTAAGCAAGCACTTCACCACTAAGCTGTACCTTCAACCCCAGCAGACATAATAGTTTCACAATCAGGAAAAAAAAATGTAAGCATAAACAAGGCAGATATTCTACATTTTGATATTTAAGACCTTTTCCTCAGAAGATAGGAAAAAAATAGTAACAAATTTTCAAGAGTAATCTTTAGGCCCATCATAAATTTGGCTATAATAATTTCAAGCTTTCTTTCTTTTTTTTCTCTAAGCTTCATCTTCTCACAGGGAAGATTCATTTAAGGTAGAAGGCTTAGTTGCCTTTAGCTCAAGTGGAGACAAGCCTTATGTCAGGCAAAAGTATGTTTTTTTGAGCACTATATTTAACAGCTATCAGATCTTAGAAGAAAAGCCAAAATCCTTTAAAATGAACACACAACTATTTATAACACCTGGTAAACATTATATAAGCCCATCTTTCTGATTCACATTAATATACTCTTTAACTGAATGAATAAGTCAATGGTCAAAGAACTAATGATGAAATCAGCTTCTATATATAATAAAGTAACATTTATGAATGTTTTGTTATGGTCTAAATAATAAGCCAGATAGACGGGTATATCTTACCTTGGTACAAAAAGATTTTGTAGGTGTTTTAGTATACTTTGAACATATAGATTAGGCTCTTTAATAACTGGCAATGGAATAGAATCTTTCGGCAACACTAAAGCCATAATCCAGTCTGTATACACATCAACACAATATTTTACAGTCTCTCCATCCAGTGGAAGGGTCAGTCCATAGCAAATTACTTCCATGGTCCATTTTACCTAAACAAAAGAAAATATCCATATAGAATTATTATATATCCCTATCTATATCTCAGGAGACTAAGTTAAAATGATAAGCTTTTTTATTGCCAAAAACCTCTAAATTGATATTATACTTATCTATATATATATATATATATATATATATATATATATATATATTTATATATCAAATTTATTCTAGACAATACAATTTTCATGTGTCAGACATTAACATTTCCCAAGCCAAAGGATTTCAGAAAAAAAATTTTTTTTTTTTTTTGTACTGCAGATTGAACACTGGGGCACTTAACCACTCAGCCACATCTCCATCCCTTTTTATGTTTTATTTAGAGACAGGGTCTCGATAAGTTGCTGAGGCTGGCTTTGAACTCACAATCCTCCTGCCTCAGCCTCTCAAGTCGCTGGGATTACAGGAATCCGCCACTGCAACTGGCTCTGAAAATGAATTATTTTTACCCTTTAGACATTATTACTGTTCCCTCTGTGAAATAAAGTCATTTCAATTTTCCATAAATACTGGAAGCACAAAAATAGAAAATTTTACACTTTGATTCAAGTGGGTTATGAACTCCCAAGTGTGGAATATGATATGTCAAGAAATTTGTAATGTTTTGAACAACCAACAATAAAAAATTAAAAAAAAAATAGAAAATTTTAGATTTTTTTTCTCTATTTAATCTGCAACAGGAATATGTATCATTTATGAAATCAGATACATAAATTCAATCTCATTCCATCTCCAGATTACACAACAGTAATAGGAGCAAATGACAGGAAGGAAAAGGGCTCTTGTTTTACAACTGTCTTCTCTGCCAAAGAAAACAATACTTAAAATGGGTAGGTGTGAAGGGACTGGAGTTGGGTAAGATCTTTTTAAAACATTTTTATTGGAGCATTATAGTTACACACAAAAACTAGATTCGTTTTGAGGGTAAAATCTTAACAAGGCACTTGGCTGTACTAAAGGAGTCTCAGCCTCCTGACCCCCCTGAATTACATACTAAGGGCTGAAATTGCCCAAGAGACTGGTAAAATATTGTTTGCAGTCATAAAGAGTGGATGCAGTGATCTGAGAAAGGAGAAATACCCTAATTCAGAAAAGAATAGGATATTATATTCCAGACACTACAGACTTTAATATTTAAGGGAATCCCAAACAAAATTCTGGGACCAATTTAAGTAGATGATCAGTGAACACTTATAAAAAGGGAACATAATCACTAAGAACCAATCTGCTCAAAAAAAAATCAAGTCATGCCAGACAAGCTTCATTCCTTTACTAATTAGGATTCCTGAGAGCTAACAACTGTATAGTCCTTGCAATTTATAAACCACTTGCATAAAAATCATCTAACTATCATATTAACCCTGTGTGAGAGGGTAATTGTTCTCAGTTTACATATAAGAAAACTGAAACGGGGCATAGTAAGGTACACAGGTAATCCCATTGACCTAGGAGGCTAAGGCAGGAAAACTGCAAGTTCCAGGCCAGCCTCAGCAAATTAGAGAGACCCTCAGCAATTTAGCAAGACCCTGTCTCAAGATAAAAAAAAGAAAAAGTGGGGGCTGGGGTTGTGGCTCAGTGGTAGAGCGCTCACCTAGCACATGAGTGGTGCTGGATTCGATCCTCAGCACTACATAAAATAAAATAAAGGCATTATGCCCAACTACAACTAAAAAACAAAATATTTAAAAAAAAAAAAAAAAAGAAAGAAAGAAAGAAAAGGGCTGGGGACATAGCTCAGTGGTAAAGCACCCCAGGGTTCAATCCCCCAGTACCAAAAAGAAAGAAAAAAAAAAAAGAGAGGAAAGAAAACTTTAGTTTAGCAAGTTTAAGCAATTTAGTCCATCACTGTTTGGTAAATGATGAAGCTAAAAACTTGAACCCTGGGCTGGGGTTGTGGCTCAGCAGTAAAGCGCTCGCCTCACACGTGCGAGACCCTGGGTTCGATCCTCAGCACCACATACAAAAATAAACACGTGAAATAAAGGTGTTAACTAAAAAAATAAATATTAAAAAAAAACTTGAATCTTGGTCTTCTAACTAGAAATTTGAAGCTATTCTTAATTAATTAATATCTTTCTCTGGCACAGGGGTATCCGGGCTTTGGCAAGAAATTTCCTTATGACAAGATGGAGACATATATCCCATAAGATAATGAAGTACCTGGATGTACAACTAGTCAAGATATTAAGAGAGAATCACAATGGATTACTACACCAAGATATTTCAAAAAAAGGTTCCATCCAGTGGTATGCCAAAGGCCCTGCCAAGATTTTTTTTTTCTTCAGTACTAGAGATGGAACCCAGGGCCTTATACATGCTAAGCAAGAGCTCTACCACTGAGCTATGACCTCAGCTCCTGCCCCAAAATTTTAATTTAACAACAGATTACATGTTGATCATCTGTAGCTATCTATCATAAAGATAAAAACCGTGGCCAGCTTTTTGGACAGAAATTCAGGATTCGAGAAGACTTAAAACTAAAATTAAAGTTAAATATGAAAAGATATGTACATGTATAACATGTTTTAAACTCAAAAACTACAAAGGCTCAAAGTAGAAAATATATGGTTTAACAGCAATAAATGTTAAGGTCTAGAGCAACACAGTGAAGCTGTGCCAAATTAGGAGTGGCTGACAAATTAGGAGTGGTGTGTCAGGTTTTAGCAACACAAGAGATCTTAAAGGAAGTTGCAGGTCACTAAATATCAGATAAAAAGAAAAAGGAGAAGACATCTTTAGTAATATCTTCACACAGTAGTTGAACTGTATAATTCTAGAAGATACAGTATTCAAGAACTACTCTCATCTCCTCTAGAGGGTAGGAAAGGAGAATAAACAAGGGCTACACCAGGGAGCCTCTATCTACCCACATGCCATCTCTTCCCATGGGAAGGTAGCAAGGGGTCATAGCCACAACCAGAGGAGTGTGCCAGGGCCTGTGCTAAGAGGTAAGTCTAAGAGCCTTTGGTGAGAGAAAAATGCTCCTCTAACTGAGGGACTTCACCCTTTAGTGATCTACGGCCAAAAGAGTATCAACAAACTGCCTCTAGAGCCGCAAGCTTTCACCTCATATCAAAGTCTAATCTGTCCTTGATGAAAGATCAAAAAGTAAGGAGGTGCCAGGTGCGGTGGTGCACACTTGTAATCCCAGCAACTCCAGAGGCTGAGATAGGATGATCACAAGTTCAAAGCCAGCCTGAGCAGATTACCAAGGTACTTCTCAACTCAGTAAGACTCTGTCTCTGAATAAAATATAAAAAAGGGTCGGGGGTGTGGCTCAATGGTTAAGCACCCCTGGGTTCAATCCTGGTACCAAAAACAAAACAAAAAAATACAGAGGAAAAAAGGATCTAAGAAACTGGTAAAGGATTTCGTACACCTGAAGCCTGAAGGTTGCATGAGTTTCCTCAAGGAGACAAAGTTTTAATTGCACATCTTAGCTAAATCTCATACTAGCAAGGTCCTACAGAATTGCCCCATTCTTGGGACTCCTTTATCACTTTCCACTGAGGTTAATCCAATCTCCTACACCCAAAAACAGAGGACAAGCTCCAAGGTGAACTACTCCAACAGTCCCTTATCTTTAGAAATGGCAAGCATGACTTGGGCTTACAACATGAAGAGCTCATCTGCTTTATAGCGCTCTTGTCTCTCTTTTTTTTTCCTTTTTGGTCCTGGGAATTGAACCTAGGGGTGATCTACTATTCGGTTATATTACTAGAGATAGGGTCTCACTAAATATCTTACTAGAGATAGGGTCTCGATAAATTGCTGAGGCTGGCCTTGAACTTGCAATCCTCCTGCCTCACCCTTGTGAGTCTCTGGGATTACAGGTGGGCACCACCACACCCAGTTTCTATGGCACTCTTAAAGCTGGAAGCCAGGCAGGGACTGAGAAGATGGAAGAGCTCAAACTCAGCCATACATGTAGCCTGAAAATTTGATGTAAAATGGGCTTGTAGTTAGGGGGTATCTGGAGGTAGGGATGAGGGCTTCCAAAAACACCCAGAAATAGAAATTAGGGGAAAGAATCCAACATTCAAGTCTCTGTCTTGGGCACTTAACTCAAGTGGAGAATTGGGCATGGCTAGCTGAAAGCCCCAGTAATGAAAAGGTAAAATCCATTCCTTATAATCTCTACAAACTCCAAACCCCACCCCTCAATCTCAAAGAGATCAAAAATGAGAAGTCAACAGAACATTGGGCAGAACTTCATTTAAAAATCAACATTAAATAAACTTTTCAGTAGCAAATTTATATTTTCACATAATAGAAGGAAATGAATCAACACTTACTTCTTTGTCAGTTTTTAACAAACTCTCACTACCAGCCACTGAAGGGGTGCCTAATGCCTGCCCAAGAGGACGAACCACTGCATTTGCGACCTCTCGCCCAACGCTCTCTGGATAGCTGTGCAGCACACTGGTATGACCCTGATCATTCTGAATCACCAAATGCAGGGACCTCCACTCAGAGTACATCGTGCCGCTAAAGTACTAACCAAATGGCACCTGAAAAGACAAAACAGAAATGCATGTCAAATTATACTACTGCAAACTAGTAAAAAATTTACTCTAGGTGACAAGATGTTTAAAAAGGCCATAAATATACAATAGCTAGAAAACAGAAAAAAATAATATCTAAATGTTTGGGGAATATCACAAAATGACCTCATGATAAGATGAAATAGGAAGGCAGACCCCTGAGAAGCAGCTGTCTGAGCACTTCTCCAAAAAATCCTCAGAAGCCCTGGAGAAAATGACCACTGTGCAGGGGAATAAAATGATCAGCTCTGGGACCCTTACAACATGAAGATGGTTCCATAAGGCGGGGTTGGGAGAATGAAGTATTCTAAAGAGGAAAGGAGACAAAAAGATTTCACTCAGACCCAGATTTTTTAGTTAACAGTTTTGAGCAACACAGTCCCCATTTATCCATGGTTTCACTTTCCAGTTTCAGTTACTCAGAGTCAACTGTGGTCCAAAAATATTAAATGAAAATTTCCAGAAACCATGATACCCTGAGTAGCATGATGAAATCTTGAGCCATCCCAGCCCATCCTGCTTGGGCTGTGAACCATCCACTTGTCTAGTATATCCACACTGTATGTGTTACCCGTTCCACGGGTCACTTAGAAGCCATCTCCATTATCCAATTGTCATGGTATATAATGCTTATGTTCAAGTAACCTCTATTTTACCTAATAATGGTCCCAAAGTGTAAGAGTAGTGGTGTTAGCAACACAGATATGCCAAAGGTAAGCCATGAAATGATCACTTTGAGTGAAAAAAGGAAAGTTCTTGACCTAAAAAGAGAAAAAAATCCTGTGCTGAGGTTACTAAGCTCTATAATTAGAATGACATGTCTATCAAAGAAATTGTGAAAGAAAAAGAAATTCATATTAGTCTTACTGTTGGATCTCAAACTGCAAAGGCTACTGCCATAGTAAGTGAGAAGTGCTTAGTAAAGACCGAAAAGGCATTAAATTTGTGGATAAAAAACATAAACAGAAAAATGTGCTCTAATAGCAACATATTTGTGCCAGAAAGTGTGCAGCCTATACCAGTCTGTAGGGTTCAGTACTACCCAAGGATTCAGACATGCACTAGAGGTCTTGGAACATCTCTCCATAAAGGAGAGACAACTGCTCCTATTATGCACTAAAAACATACCCCTGCATTTTCTACCAATGTCCTCAAATTAGACTTTCAAATTCTTTGAGAATAATTCATTTCTTGCAAGAACATCACTCAAATTTCCAGTAACAGACATCTGGAATTCACAGTATTCTTTAGAAAACATTTTAAAGGCAGCCGCTTATTATATATTTACTACATTTTACTCAAGCAATCATCAAAACAACCTTATGAATATGCAATAATGTTATGCCTATTTCACAGATGAAAAAGTCAACAGCATAGAAAGGTCTGCTTTTTACATGAGGCTCCAGAGCTCTAACAGGGTAGAACTGGATTCTGAACCCAAATCTGCTGGGCTCCAATACACATGGCACATACTGCCTCCCCCTATCCTATACATTCTCCCCAGCTGGTACCGCTTTTGCACATGCTGTTTGCTCTCCATGAAGTTATATCTAAGTTGGCCATACAAATGAGGAATTTTAGTTGCAGAAAACATACCTGTATGAATGCAATGTAAATACTACAACCATAGAAATCATACTCAGAGAATTGAGAATGTTGAGTCCTTTTCAACTCATTTCTATCACCTTTTCTGAATGTTTTACTCAGCCCGCAGTTTAAGCAAAATACACAGGTACAATGAATCTTTTAAAAGTTCTACCCCTTTGGGGGGCTAGGGCTGTAGCTCAGTGGTAGAGTGCCCGCCTCGCACATGTAAGGCACTGGGTTTGATCCTCAGCACCACATAAAAATAAATAAAGATATATATATTAAAAAAAAAGTTCTACCCCTTTGGGACTGGGGTTGTGGCTCAGTGGTAACGTGTTTGCCTAGTATGCCTGAGGCACTAGGTTCAATTCTCAGCACTACATACAAATAAATAAAATAAAGGTCCATCAACAATTAAAATATATATATATATAAAAAAGGTCTACCCTTTAAGCTACTTCTTCTTCAAAGTGAGAAGAGACTAGCATTGTTTAATTTTAATCCTGCAAAACTTCATTCCAGCTCACTAAATATTAGTGTTTTTTCAAGAGCATATGGCATTTGCAAATCTTTAGTCTACAGAATGAAAATCAAACTCCTTAGCCTGACAATGTCATTCACAGTCTAGTCCCAAACTAGCTTTCTTTCTTTGTTCCATATACAGAAACCCATCACTTTCTCTCTCCTCTATCATCCTACTCAAACTACTCAGCTTCTTTCGGAGCCTGAGAAACTCTGGGCCTAGCAACCATATGAGGATCTTCTGACTGCCTTCCTCTGAATCTGTCCCTGCAAATTAAAAGGCAGGAGGGAAAGACCACTATCTAACAAGGTACCTATAATTTAATGGAGGAGTGGATGTGTCTGACAACTGAAATTGCTTCAGGTTCCTTATGATTTATAAGGAATTCTCCTAAGAATATCCTGGTACCTCCCTGAAATAAGCTCTCTTAGAAATGGGGAAAAAAGGAAAGCTCTAATAGGCAACCATCATTATCAGAAGATAACTTATTCCTGTACATTTTTCTTCTTTATTAACACATATATACACACACGTATATGGATGTCATACAATATACATATAACATATATACAGTATAATGTACATATACAATACATAGTCTCTTATATAAATGCACAAGGATATTTTATTACAGGGATTTATTAGTGTAGTTTTTCACCCTTTCATTTTTATTTTGGCTTTATTCCCTGTCCAAATAACTTACTTCCCTGGATGATCATGTTAACAACTTAATACTTTCTCCTGTATCTTGCTCCACCCTACCTCAAACACATTAAAATAATTTATATCACACACATCTAAGGATTATATACTTTTTTTGGTATTTAATTTTATTTTCTCCATTCAATAGTAAATATTTCATGAATATTCTACCAACTAATAAGATTTTTTTGCTGGCTGTGTAACAGTCCATGGTACGGGTGTAGCATAAATTATTCAACCAGTTTCTAATAATGTACATTTGCATCATTTCCTTTTATTCTTTTGTCATCTGAAAATGATGATGTAATAAACATGTTTGTTCATGTATCTTTAAGAGTAGCCTTTCTATTTCTATGGAATAGGTTCTCAAAGAGTGAAACTGTTAGATCAAAGGGTAAATATATATATATATAT